ATTTTCGAAAAAAAAAAAAAAAAAAAATACCGTTACACTTTCAAAAATTACAATAATATCCTTACCGTTAGTTTTAGATGCAAACCATTGCTATCATGCTGTTTCAAAAATAACTTTTTTAAAAAAAAGTTAAATATTTTTATTATTTGTACTGTATTTAAACCGTGGTACTAATAGCTCTGTACATTTTTTTAAAATTAAAAAAAAATTAAAGGTGTTTTTGACGTTTTTAATTTTATTAAAAATATTAGTAAAACTTTTGAAGACCCGAAAATATTTTTGAAACACTTTTACATGTATTTTTTATTTTTATTTTTTACCATTTAAAAATATTTTAATTTTGTTTTGAAAATTTAAGAATATTGCCGAAACGTTTAAAATTAAAAAATATTTTTGAGATAAAAGTGGAAATTTAGCAAAATAAATAAATAAATAAAGGTTTAATTTCTAAAAAATTTGTATAAAATACAGTGAAAATTATAATTAATTAATTAATATAAAGTTAATCAATAATTTAAACATAATAAAATATTTATTCATTTGACTATATTAAAATTTAATTGATAAATAAATTTGAAATCCGAATAAAAAATTCAAATAAAAAATAAAAAGAAAAAAATTGAAAAAAAAATAAAAATAGGGAGAGATGGAGAACCATTATGCTCAAAGGAGAAGCAAAAACAGAAAGATTGAAAGCTGCACAAATCAATCCAACAGCATTTGTTCTCTTCATCCCATGAAGAAACAACATTGTTCCACCCAATATTACTCCACAAAACCCTAAGTCGAAAACCACGAACAACTTCATCGTCAATATCTGCAACCACGAAATAAGAACGTTAAATTTCGATCTCGCTTCATAACCATTTGATTCTTATACCTGTAAACGCTGCTTTGTTATCTTTTATTTATTATTATTTTTTTTAAGTATGTTTCAAAAGCTAAACAGAGTTTTGAAAACGAGAAAAGGTAGCTTTCTCGGGATTATAGGAGTGTTAAAAATAATTTGATAACCTGAAAAACTCGATCAACCCAACCCAATTCGTACGGTTTGAGTTGGGTCATGAAATTATTTAGGTTGAGTTAAATTGAAATCTCGTAAATTGGATTAGTTCACGAGTTTTCTTAAAATTAGATTGAGTTGAATCAACCACGAGACATTTATTGTTAATTTTAAAATATATATTTTGTTTATGATACATATATTTATTTAATTTCATAATTATTTTTATATTATTTATTCTCCAAATTTTTTTACAAATATTAACATATTTTAACGACCTATTTTAAAATGTTTTAAATAAAAAATTGAATAAATAACCCGAACAACTTGAACCGACTCAAACCAAATTTTTCATTGGGTTAGATTTTTCAACGAAAACATTTGAGTTGAGTCTAAAAAAATGTCTCAACGTGAACCAACTAAACCTAAATTTTTTTAAGTTGGGTTGGGTTGGGTTCATGATTTAATAGAAGTTGTTTAGGTTGAAAAATTTACGACCCGAACAATTGGGTTGAGTCTAAAAAATATATCAACATGACCCATTTCAACCTCAAACACCGGAACAAAATTATATGCTTTCTTGAACCTATTATAGAAAAAGAATAGAAATCAAACACCGTCTTCAAAAATGAAAACCAAACAGTTATCAAACGAGACTTTAGATGTTCCATCTTTGGATTAACAATCACTTCAACTATTAAACTTTTATTTTATTTTTAACTCAACAACCCTCGAGATGAAGATTCAAATTATAAGTAGTTTAAATATGTTCATATCGATAGTAGTGTTATTTCTTCGTACTCGAATATTTTTTCAAATCATGTTGAATCTTATCAATAACTTGTTTTTGATATGTAAAGAGATAGAGAGAGTGACCTTTTCTCTCTTAGGAGCATAAAAGAGGTAGAGAGCTATATAGACAAGCTCAATGAAACACCCAAAAGAGTTGATGCTAATTAGCAAAATGGCATTGGTCTTAAGGGCACCATAATAAAGAAGCAACATTGCACTCATCAATGCCACCAAATAAGGTATAGATTGGAACCCTTCCGACGTTTTCTTCTTGTAAATCGTCCAAAACGTTGGCCTAAAATACATACCACACAACAACATGTTACAACAACGATATTAGTAATAGACGTTTAGAATTCAGAAACCTTACATCGGAGCTAGAAACACCATAAACGATATTAAATTACCTGAAAAACAAAACGAAATCAATCAATTTAAAAAACCCATCATTTTGATTCACAATAAAACGAAAACGATAATCGAATAGTACCCAAGAGACCGAAGATGAAATGGAGCTGATGAACGCTTAAGTAGCTCATTGTTATTAGATATCAAATCCAAGCCAAGATGGTGAGGTTTTATAAGCAAAGAGGTTTAGTTAGGTGTAAGAAGTAGAGATTGTTTGGCTGAAATTACATGTAAAAGGGTAGGAATTTTGATCTCTTTGCTTGTGGCTAAGTTACCTAACTTTACTTTGTAATTGAAGTTACTGAGTGTATTGAAATTGTTCTTCTTCCACTTTCATATGGTGCTTTCATTTTTAAGATACATTTGGTTTTAGTTTGGTTGTTCAAGCACATGTATACTTTAATATCATATTTATGTTTATATCAACGTTTCATTTTTACTCGATGTTGAGATTATTAGATATATGTCTTATGATGTCTATTGACGTAGTTGGTTTATGATCTTGTTCGATTGTTTTTAGTGTTTTAGCTTCATTTTTACTATGTTATAAGTGAAATTTGACCTCGATTATAAATTGATCATGATGAAGCTTAGAACAAGGAGACCTGAGACGAATAGTCACGACTTTATCCATGAGAGGAATGATAGGAAAACCTAAAATTGGCTCGTGATTTGGACAAGGACAACTCGATTCGGAGAGACGTTTTTTCCTTGAGGGTATCTGGAGCGTGGCTGAGGGTATGGGAGGTCGTTTGGAGGAGCGTGGACATCGAGGAGGCGTACTTTGAGATGTTGGAATGAGAATTTTGACGCTTACCAGAATTCTCGCAGGTCTGTCGGTCGACTTTTATAACAAGAAGTTCAAAGTACGAAAATGCCCTAATCTAATTACAGGGTTACAACTTAAACAGAAATGTAACTATCCAAGCCCACTACTAGCGGATACGGTGCTCTTTGGACTTTCCCTTCAAAGGGTTCCCCTCAAGGTTTTAAAACGTGTTTGTTAGGGAGAGGTTTCCACGTTCTTGTAAGGAATGATTCGTTCTCTTCTCCAACCAATGTGGGATCTCACAATATCTAAGAAAACATTCGTTATTCTTTTTCATTTTCTTTTTTAGTTAAATATATAGGACGGAGAATTGAGTTATGCTCTGATTGACATCTAAGGAATAGTCGAAATGGGTGTGAAAACGTGCGCGTTAGATTATAACTTAATTTTATTTGATTGAAAAGTTGTCTAAAGGAAAAACATATCCCTTAAATTCATGCATTGTTATTGATTATCATATTGATCTCCTTTGTTGCTCTTTGATTGTTGAATGTTGAGAGAGTTTGGTGATTTGCTTCATATTTCTTGCCTCCTTCCTCAAGCTTCTCTTCTTTGCCTTCAAGAACATTTCTCTTTCTACCTCTATAGATCATGTACATTATCATTTGGATCATTCCTAGTACAAACCCCACAATGTTTGGCAGCTGAAAATGATAGCAAAACAAGTTACCATCAACATATGACAAAGGTTAATACTTTTCTTTATATTTGCTAATATTGTTTAAGAAAAAAATTACCGCTCCATGTCTAGGGTTTAGAATAGATTATTGAATCAGGAGTCGATACCTGATGGTCTCGACGTTTTTGGCTTTTCCTTTTGGGCTTCCCCTCAAGGTTGTAAAGTGCATTTATTAGGGAGAGGTTTTCACACCTTTATAAGGAATGCTTTGTTCCCCCTCCAATCGATGTGAGATCGATCTCACAATCCACCCCTTGGGGGCCCAAACTCACCGGGATCTCACAATCCACCTCCTTGGAGGCTCAAACTCACCACTAATAGATATTGTCTTTTTGAGGATTTCCCTTTTGGGCTTCCCCTGAGGTATTAAAAACGCGTTTATTAGGGAGAGGTTTTCACACCCTTATAAGAAATGCTTTGTTCCCTCTCCAACCGATGTGGGATCTCACAATCCACCTCTTTGTAGTCACTGTCCTCGCTGGCACATCATCTAGTGCATCTCATAATCCACCCCCCTTGAGGGCTTAGTGTCCTCACTAGCACACCACCCGGTGCCTGACTCTGATACCATTTGTAACAGCCCAAACTCATCGCTAGCAGATATTACCTTCTTTGGACTTTTCCTTCTATGCTTCCCCTCAAGGTTTTAAAACGTGTCTATTAGAGAGAGGTTTCCACACCCTTGAATGCCCTCTCCAACCGATGTGGCAACTCACAATCCACCCCTTTGGGGGCCCAGCATCCTCGTGGGCACACCGCTAACAAATATTGTCCTCTTTAAACTTTCTCTTACAAGCTTCCTTTCAAGGTTTTAAAACGGGTTTATTAGGGAGAGGTTTCCACACCCTCATAAGAAATGTTTCGTTCCTCTCTCTGACCGATGCACGATCTCACAAGACCACTCTCATTCGAATATAATTTCAGTTCATTCATATATCTCTTCTGTTACAACCTCTAATTAAGCGTGCAAGCTACAAATTATGAGCCTAAAACTCATAATCCTAAAAAAGTAACACCTTCATGAATACAAAAAGGAAAGTTTTAAGCTTACTTCCACACCCTTTACTTTATTGGTCCATCCTCAAAACTATGTCAATATTCAAATGTTCATTTATGTTGTTCTTTAAATTGAGTATCATAAACATAGAAAAAAATACGTATGGTCTAAAACATAGGCATACGTGGAATCCACATCAAGTATTTATGAAATTCAATATGAAAAGTAAATGGTAATTAAAGATTGAAAAGTAATTTATTGGTGAAATTTATATGGATCAAAATAGAGAATGATAAAAGAAATAAGGTAAGGTTAGGTTTTGACTTACAGCAATGAAGGGATCTTTGATGAAGAAGCCATAGAAGAACCACATGGTGGCTGAAAGTGTGAGAAAAAATGATAGCGAAAATGGCATATACTCCACACTTTTTGTTGTTATCACCTTCTTCTGAAAATTTTCAAAATTATCAAAATTAATGATAAAGAAATAAAGAAATAAACAAAAACGAGCTAATTTTTGTAACCACGAATGCCCAGGTTTCGGAATTCAGATTCAGCACCTAATGATTCTAACATTGTGACAGGTCTGTTTTGTCGTCCTAGGTTTTGGAATCCAGATTCAGCACCTAATGATCCTAACATTTCGACAGGGCTGTTTTGTCCTAGGTTTTGGAATCCAGATTCAGCACCTAATGACCCTAACATTCCCACAGGCCTGTTTTGTCCTCGGCTTCGGAATCCAGATTCAATACCTAATAGTCCTCACATTCCCACAGGTCAGTTTTGTCCAAGGTTTCAGAATCTAGATTTAGCACCTAATGGTCTTAACATTCTCACGTGTCTATTTTGTCTAGGTTTCAGATCCCAGATTCAGCACCTAATGGCCCTAAGATTCCCACAGGTCTATTTTGTCCTTACTCGTATGTTTGATTCAGAATCTAGATTCAGCACACTTTAACATTCCCTCTAAACCAATACAGGTCTCGATTTGTCCTCACTCACATGCTTTTTATGAAAATTCCCGAGAGGCCACCCAACATAGAATTACTTCAAATAAAACACGCTAAACTTTGAAGTTTCTACGATTGAGCTACCAAAAGTAAAGTGCACATTCTTGATATAGATAATAACTTTAAGTCTTTTCTTAGTTATTTTATCCTCAGGGTTGCTCTTATCCGGATATGGTCTCGATTTATTCATGTATCCCTCGTTCACTCCCGTGTTATAAACCAAAATTTCCTTCAAACAAACAAAAAATTTCAAGGGAAAATTGAAATAAACATAGAGAGAGAGAGAGAGAGAGAGATGGAGGACCATGATGCTCAAAGGAGAAGCAAAAACAGCAAGATTGAAAGCTGCACAAATCCATCCAACAGCATCTGTGCGCTTATTACCATGAAATATAAGCATTGTTCCTCCTACCATTACTCCATAAGAACCCAAGTTGAACATTACTAACATCTTCAATGTAAATATCTGCAAAATAAACGTTAAAACCGTCTTATTTTTTTACCAATTTGATCATAAATCAACTGATGTAAGTATATATCTTCGAACGAGAGGTCAAAAATTTGAACGTCTCACCCCACGACTAACCTTTTGTCTCTTAGGAGCGTAAAAGAGGTAGAGAGCTATATAGAAAAGTTCAATGACACATCCAAAAGAGTTGATGCTGATTAACAAAATGGCATTGGTCTTAAGAACAGCATAATAAAGAAGCAACATTGCACTCATCAATGCCACCACATAAGGTATAGAATGGAATCCTTCAGAAGTTTTCTTCTTGTAGATGGTCCAAAATGTTGGCCTAAAATACATACCACACAACAACATGTTACGACAACGATATCAGTAATAGACGTTTAGAATTCAGAAGCCTTACATCGGAGCTAGAAACACCATGAACGATATTATATTACCTGAAATGAAGAACGAACGAAATCAATCAATTTAAAAAACCCATCATTTTGATTCGAAAAAAAGAAAACGATAATCGAATAGTACCCAATAAACCGAAGATGAATTGGAGCTGATGAACACTTAAGTGGGTCATTGTAGCTATGAATGGAAGAAAGTTAACAAAATATGATTAAAAGCAAGCCAAGATGGTAAGGTTTTATAAGCAAAGAGTTGTAGTTAGGCATTTCATATAAAGATAGAAAGAAGATTGTATGGCTGAAATTACAAGGTAAAAGGTTTGGAATTTAAATCATTTAGATGTGGCTCAACTCAACTCAAGTTTGTGAGTTCTTAGAAAGTCTTGTATTAATTAAATGAAATCCCCTCTTCATTCTTTGCCCAACTTAATCTTAACCTTGTTCTTCTTCTATTTTTCTTTGGTGCTTTCTTTTTTTAAGATAGATTGGGTTTTAGTTTGGTTGCTCTAGCATTGAAGATAGCATTTAATGTAGGGTTAGTGCATATGAAATTGAGTTACGTGTACGAACGTGGTGTGTACTCAACGTGTAAGATCGCATATTGGTTGGGGTGGAGAATGAAACACCCTTTATAATGGTGTGGAAACCTCTCCCTAGTAGACTCGTTTTAAAAACCTTGAAAAGAAGTCCGAAAGGGAAAGCCCAAAGAGGATAATATCTGCTAGCGGTGGGTCTAGGCTATTACAAATGGTATCAGAGATAGACATCGGGCGATGTACTAGCGAGGAGGTTGTTTTCCAAAGGGGGGTAGACACGAGCCGGTGTGTTGGTAAGGACGCCGGGCCCCGAAGGGAGGTGGTAGACATGAGATGGTATGTCAGTAAGGACGTTGGGCCACGAACGGGGTGGATTTGGTGGGGGTCCCACATCGATTGGAGAAAGGAACAAGTGCCAGCGAGGTCTTTAGGCCCTGAAAGGTACTGATTGTAAGATCCCACATCGATTGGCTCTTTATAAGGATGTGTAAACCTCTCCCTAGTAGAACCCAAAGAGGACAAGGAGGGCATAGGCCGTTACACAACGAGTCTCAAGTGTTACAAAATTGGTATGAATTTGGTGGATTCTATGCATATGAAAATGATGAACTATATCCCGAGCATATAAAAGGAACTCTAGATCCCAATTTCATAATTTTAGGTCTCACTAGAAATTAATGTCATGATTCATGTTGTATGTTCGTATTTTCTCGACCCTAAAAATGAGGTGACGTATTGGGTATTTTATAACGCTAAACCTTTTCTACACTTTCAAAATTTTGAGCCCGGGTTTGAAATAGGGACCCTCTAATGTGTGATACTACCTTGTTAACCAACTAAACCACCCCAAACAAGTTGACAAAGTAAGAATCCAAAATAACACTTCGAACTCGAATCAGCACTCATCGAAGATAAAAATATAAATTTTAAAATGTCAAAGCCTCGGTAAGCAAAAAAATAAAAATATGTAAAATAAAAATATAAACATAAATTACAAAATGTCTAAAGCCAGGTTTGAACCGAAGACTTTTAGTGTGTGAGACTAGTGTAATAACCAACTACACCACCCAAACAAGGTAAGAATTTAAAATAACGCTTTGTACTCGAATCAGCTTTCATAACGGAAGTAAGAATGTTGTAAGGAAAAAAATAATATAAATTACAAAATGACTACACCACCACATAAGGTGAGAATCCAAAATAATGCTTTGTACTTGAATCAGCACTCATAAGGGAAGTAAGAATGTTGTAAGGTACGCGAATCAGCACTCATAACGGAAGTAAGAATGTTGTAAGGAAAAAAATAATATAAATTAAAAGTTTGTACTCGAATCAGCACTCATAACGGAAGTAAGAATGTTGTAAGGTACTCGAATTAGCACTCATAACGGAAGTAAGAATGTTGTAAGTAAAAAAATAATATAAATTAAAATGTCTGAGCCCGGGCTTGAACCGGGGACCTCTAGTGTGTAAGACTAGCGTGATAACCAACTACACCACCCAGACAAGGTGAAAATCCAAAATAACGCTTTGAACTCGAATCAGCACTCATAGCGGAAGTAAGAAATAAAAATTACAAAATATCTAAGCCCAGGTTTGAACGAGGGACCTCTAGTGTGGGAAACTAGCATGATAACCAACTACACCACCCAGAGAAGGTAAAAATCTAAAATAACGCTTTGAATGACCCAGGTTTGGGCCAGGGACCTCTAGTGTGTGAGACTAGCGCGATAACCAACTACACCACCCAGACAAAGTGAGAATCCAAAATAACGCTCTGAACTCGAATCAGCACTCATAGCAGAAGTAAGAATGTTGCAAGGAAAAAATAAAAATATAAGCTACAAAATGTCTAAGCCCAGGTTCGAATCAAGGACCTCTAGTGTGTGAGACTAACGTGATGATAACCAACCACACCACCCAGACAAGGTGAGAACCCAAAATAACGCTTTGAACTCGAATAGCACGCATCGCGGAAGTAAGAATGTTGTAAGGAGGAGGAAAAAAAAAAATAAAAATTACAAAATGTCTGAGCCTGGGTTCAAAGTAGGGACCTCTAATGTGTGAGACTAAACTAGTGTGATAACCAATTACACCACCCAAACAAGGTGAGAATCTCGAACCGGTGCACTGAAGTAAGAATGTTGTGAGGAAAAAAATATTACAAAATGTCTAAGCCCGGGTTCGAACTGGGGACCTTTAGTGTGTGAGACTAGCGTGATAACCAACTACACCACCCAGACAAGATAAGAATCCAAAATAACGCTTTGAACTCGAATCAACACTCATAGCGAAAGTAAGAATGTTATTTAAATGTTTGAGCCCGGGTTTGAACTGGGGACCTCTAGCGTGTGAGACTAGCGTGATAACCAACTACACCACCCAGACAAGGTAAGAATCCAAAATAACACTTTAAACTCGAATCAACACTCATAGCGAAAGTAAGAATGTTATTTAAATGTCTGAGCCCAAGTTCGAACCAGGGGCCTCTAGTGTGTGAGACTAGTGTGATAACCAACTACACCACCTAGACAAGGTGAGAATCCAAAATAACGCTTTGAACTCGAATCAGCACTCATAGCGGAAGTAAGAATGTTGTAACGAAAAAATAAAATTAAAAATTACAAAATGTCTTGAGCTCGAGTTTGAACCGAGGACCTCTAATGTGTGAGACTAGCGTGATAACCAACTACACCACCCAGACAAGGTAAAAATTCAAAATAACGCTTTGAACTTGAATTAGCACTCATAACGGACGTAAGAATGTTGTAAGGAAAAAAATAATAATTACAAAAGGTCTAAGATCGGGTTTGAACCGAGACCCCTAGTGTGTTAGACTAGGGTGATAACCAACTACACCACCCAGACAAGATGAAAATTAAAAATAACGCTTTGAACTCGAATGAGCACTCATAGCGGAAGTAAGAATGTTGTGAGGAAAAAAAAATAAATAAATAAAAATTACAAAATATCAGAGATCGGGTCCTAGTATGTGAGACTAGCGTGATAACCAACTACACCACCCAGACAAGTTAAGAATCCAAAATAACGCTTTGAACTCGAATCAGCACTCATAGCGGAAGTAGGATTGTTGTAAGGAAAAAAATAAAAATATAAATTACAAAATGTTTGGAGCCCAAGTTTGAATCGAGAACCTTTAGTGTGTGAGACTAGCGTAATAACCAATTACACCACCGAGACAAAGTGAGAATCTAAAATAACGTTTTTAACTCGAATAACATTCATATTTTTTGAGACGGAATGTTGTAAAGAAAAAAATATTAAAATTATAAATTTTAAAGACGAGGTGAAAATCTAAAATAATGTTTTGAATTCTAATAATGGAGACTTTAAAAAAAAAATAAAAATCTAAATTTTCCAATATATATATAAAATGATTCTACTTTTATTAAAAATAAAATAAATAAATGACGAGAACCAACTCAACCAAAAAAAATTATGGGTTGAGTTGGATTGGATTGAGGTCATTGTTACAACCGGAACAATTGAGTTGGATTGGAATATCTCAACTCAACCCAACTCCACGAAAGCTCTTAATTAGTTTACGAAAAAAATGTTTTATATAATTTTGCACTATAATGCAAAATAGAATTAAAAGACGAAGTCGGGAACTCAATTTTTCAAAAAAAAAAAAAGGTATTTTGTTCTCGTTCACGTGAATTCTCAAAATGTCATCCAATATAGAATTGGTCCAAACAAACATGTTTAACCCCATCCATAATTACTTTCAATTGTTTTAAATTTTTTTTAGTCATTCTACTCTAGAACGCTTTCATTCCCACCAATTTTGCTGTTGGTTTGTCTATGAACCACATCTTATCGGGAAAGATATCATTATAATTCTACACTTAACGACTTATGTCCAGGAGTCGAAAGAGATATCACTCTAATACTATTTGTAACGATCTATGTCTAGGATTCGAAATCCAAATTCGACATCTAATGACCCTAACATTCTCCTTTTCGCTTCTAAGAGTGAAGACTATCGCCACAGACCTATGTCTAACATGAATTCTCAATTCAACTAGGAATGAGAGAGAGTGATGAAAACTTTAAAATAACTATTTTTAATCGAATAATAAATCTAAAAAAGTTACATGGGGAATCAATCTCTGGTATTTTTTCACCGGAAATTCTTACGTGGATTCGGACAAAATTAAATGGGAAATTTCGTAGGGATGAGAAATGAAATAGGTGACCGCAACCCGTGGACAGATATTTACGACCCCAACTCTAAATTGAAATAACAAAATATTTTAAGAAATTAAAATATTATTTATTTATATGAAATTTTGGAGCATACATGGTTATTTTTGTGATGTCCCACATTAGTTATCGAGGAGAACAAAACACATTTTATAACGGTGTGGAAACCTTCCCCTAACAGACGCGTTTTAAAACCTTGAAGGGAAGCCCGAAAGGAAAAGTTCAAAGAGAACAATAGCCGCTAGCGGTAGGCCTGGATCGTTACAAATGGTATCAGAGCCAAACACCGGACTATGTGCCAACAAGGAGGTTGTTCAAGGATGCTGGCCCCAAAGGGGGTGGATTTGGGAGGGGTCCCACATCGATTAGAGAAAGGAAAGAGTGTCAGTGAGAATGCAGGACCCCGAAGAGGGTAGATTGTGATGTTCCACGTTGGTTGGGGAGGAGAACAAAACACTCTCTATAAGGGTGTGGAAATCTTCTATTAGCAGGTGCGTTTTAAAGCCGAAAGAGAAGAGCGTAATTGGACACGAGCCCATATGGGCCAGTCAACCACTTAGTCATCTCGATATTCACATCCTTTGTAAACATATTGATAATTCTAGAGAGCCATCACTTTCTTGAACAGATAATAGCCAATTTTTATGGCTTACTTTGATTTCCCAAGTAATTCAAGAGGACACAAGGAAAGGAGGGGTCGGTTATACGTTAAGCGCACGGTTTCCACACAAAAATGGCGGCTTATCTGAACCCCAAATTCCCACATTTTTTCTATCCTTCGTCTTCCTCCTCCTACGTTCACTTCTCTGCAAACCCTTAATGCCCACCTCTGCCATGAAATCCGTCTGGCCCTCCTCTGCTTCTTCATCTTCACCTTCATTTCTTCCTCCTAGCTTCACTACCAACTCTGTCGCCACTACCAGGTCTGTCTAATTTCGTTTTTTTTTTAAGGTTTTTCTATGAAATTTATGTCGGAACATTCCTAAATTGGGGTTTGTGTCGGTTGTAACGCTGATTTGCGAATTGGGGTTTGGTTTTTTGAATTTATTGATTCATGGTTATATGTAATGCAGGGGAATGCTGAAATTGATGAGGATTTTGTTTTGTTTGAAATCGTGTATTGATGTACTAAATAGTTTATATAATGCATTATAAACAAAAGTGAAGTAGTTTTGTGAGATCCCACGTCGGTTGGAGAGGGGAACGGAACATTCTCTATAAGAATGGTGTGGAAACTTCTCCCTAGTAGATGCGTTTTAAAACCGTGAGGCTGACGGTGGTACGTAACAGGCCAAAGTGGATAATATCTGCTAAGGTTTTGGGCTGTTACAAATGGTATCAAAGTTAGACATCGGCGGTGTGCCAGTGAGGACATTGGCCTCCGAGAGAGGTGGATTATGGGATCCCACGTTTAGTTGGAGAGGGGTACGAAGCATTTCTTATAAGGGTGTGGAAACCTCTCCCTAGTAGATGCGTTTTTAAACAGTGGTTGACGACGATGCGTAATGGGACAAAGCGGACAATATCTGCTAGCGGTGGGCTTGGGCTGTTACAAATGATATTAGAGTTAGACACCAGGCGGTGTGCCAACAAGGATGTTGGCACCCAAGGAGGTGGATTACGAGATCCCACATTGGTTGGAGTGGGGAACAAAACTTTCCTTGTAAGGGTGTGGAAACCTCTCCCTAGTAGACGTGTTTTAAGACTGTGAGGCTTACTGCGATATGTAATGGGCCAAAGCTGACAATATCTACGAACGGATGCGTCTGCTAAGGAGAGGTTTCCACATCCTTATACAAAAAATGGTTCGTTCTCTACCCCAATCTATGTGGGATCTCACAATCCACCCCCTTCGGGGCAACAGTTTTTTAAAACGCATCTGCAAGAGGGAGGTTTCCACATGCTTATAAAGAATGGTTCGTTCTCCTCCCAACCGATGTGGGATCTCACAATCCACCTCCCTTTAGGACTCAGTGTCCTTGTCGGCACATCGCCTAGTGTCCACCCTCTTCAGGGCTTAGCCTCCTCGCTAACACATCACCCGGTGTCTAGATCTGATACCATTTGTAACAACTCAAGCCCACCGCTAGTAGATATTGTCCTCTTTGGGTTTTCCTTTTCGAGCTTCCCCTCAAGGTTTTTAAAACGCATTTGCTAGGAAGAGGGGAGAGGTTTCCACACCCTTATAAAGAATGCTTCGTTCTCCTCTCCAACCGATGTGGGTTCTCACAATCCACCCCCTTTCGGGGCCGAACGTCCTTGCTGGAACACCACCTCGTATCCACTCCCCTTTGGGGCTCAGCCTCCTTGCTGGCACATCCCCAATGTCTGGCTCTGATACCATTTGCAACAACCCAACCCCACCTCTAGCAGATTGTTCTCTTTGGGCTTTACCTTTCATGCTTCCCCTCAAAGTTTTAAAAATGTATCCTTATAAACAATGCTTCATTCTCCTCCCAACCGATGTGAGATCTCACATTTATCCTACCTTCTTTTACGCTCAAATCAACCGAACCCAAATTCCTCGGACTGTCAGCAATCTAGTATCTTGTTTGGTTGATGGTGATAGATGATTGTTAATCACTTAACAAATGGTTGTAATGCTTGCAGGAGAAAGGTGCTATGTTATCATGGAATACTAGTGGACAAAATATATTCAAAATACTTCTTACCTTGCAAATCTACTTCCACTGGTAGAGTGTGTAAGTCAAGAAGTTTAACAGTTCTGTCCCATAGGTCAGAGAAGAATGCCTTATGTCAAACGAAGATAAGTAAACCTAAGGTACCTTCCTATGTATACCTTAGTTTCATTAAACGTGCTCGTTTTTTTTCTCTTTTCTCTCATCACTTTTGCGTTGCCTGGTTTATCTGTCTATTCGGAAGGTCGATGAACGCTTCGACTTTATTTTTGGAACATTATCGAGTGTTCTTCGAGAATGGAGCCAATTACGGTCGATGGGTGTAGTTATTATATTGGCATGTACTCTCATGTTCGTTCCATCGTCTCGAGCTGTTGATGCACTCAAAACATGTACATGCTTACTAAAGGAATGCAGGTATTTCTAGTTTATCCTTGCTGATTGGTACCTCATATCATAGCGTCTCTCCTTCGTGTTTCTATTGTGAGTTAAGGATTTTACCAAAAGAGTGTCTGTGATTCGAGGAAATAATAATAATAATAATTTCGCCTCGGTTCGTGGTTAGAGTAATTGTTGGTCTTTTTGTATCTTGGTTCTGTGGAGATGAGTATCGTGAGGTCCTACATCGATTGGAGAGAGAAATGAATGCCAGTGAGGACGCTGGGCCCTGAAGGGGGTGGATTGTGAGATTCCACATCGGTTGGAGAATGGAACGAAACATTCTTTATAAGGGTGTGGAAACCTCTCACTAGCAGATACTTTTTAAAAACCTTGAGGGGAAGCTCGAAAGGGAAAGCCCAAAGAGAATAGTATCTGCTAGCGTTTGGTTTGGGCTGTTATAAATGGTATCAAAGCCAGACATTGGGTGGTGTGCTAGCGAGTACACTAAGCCTCGAAGGGGGGTGGACACCAGGTAGTGTGCCATTGAGGACATGGGCCCCGAAGGGAGGTGGATTGTGAAATCTCACATCGATTGGAGAGAGAAACGAGTACCAGCAAGGA